TAAATTCCGACCTCTTGCACACCTTCATTGTAGCTTCCCTCAATTACTTCACCAAATAGTACAGACAGATTCCCCTCCTAGACATCCTTCCTCCAAGCTAAACAACACCAGGTCCTTTTGCCTCTTCTTACACACCATATATTCCAATCCTCTAATCACCTTACTGGGCCCCTACTGAATTTCCCCCAAATTTGTTAATCTCTTATTTTCAGGTGCCTCCACAACAGGACAGAAAATCCAACATCTCGGCTCCCTGTGTTCAGAATGGAAAATAATCACTCCTCTCTTCCTAGTGGCCATCCTTGCCAATGCAGCTTCAAGGTACTGCTGTTACATGTTAACTTGCTTGCTACCAAAAATCCTAGATCTTCTGCAGAGCTGCTTGCTGCCCAGCAGTTCACTGTCTAGCCTGTACCAGTGATTTGGGTTATTCCATCCCAGGTGAAGGCCTTGCATTTGTCATTGATAAGTTCCTAGGAAGGTATTGGTTGAGTATAAAGTTGTTGAAAACGATCAGTGCAAAACCAGAATCAAGTTAAGTAGAAAGGATCTGGCAAGTCAGTACTTTTTTAAACTAGGGAGGGGAAAAATTCAGTGACCATCTGGTATCCTTAGCAGAGCTTAGAAGCGTGTTGCATCAGCTGCCCAATGCAGAATTGCAGAATTGGAGGCTGTTGTCCTAGACTGAAAACTACTTTGGCCCAAAAGACCTAGATATGCCTCTGATACTCTTCTTTCTACAAATATTACACAAAATTCGAATATTAAATCCAGATAATATCAGGAAAAAACCTTACACCAAGGCATTATTAGACACTAAATGTGCATTTTCAGAAAATAATCTGACTTCCAAAGCAAGCTGTTCCTTGCTATTCCTATTCACAATACCTGCATTATCAGTCCAGTGATTTACCACAATACTTGAGTTTTTTTAGATGGAAGAAACTGCCAGTATGAATCATCAGCTAAGAATATTTTTAACATATAAAGATTATTTCTGGGTTTGTTACTGTCCCGTCTGTGAAACTGTATCAAAGTCTTGGCAAACACATTGCTTCACACAATGGTAAGCAAAACAGAACAAAATAGAAGACTATTCACCCTCAAGAGATCATTTAGGCTAAACTTCATACAGAGGATCATATAAGGATTCAAAACAGATCAGAGAGACTATCAGAAATCATTGAGGAACAATTGGCCTCTGGAAAGGATGGCAATCAGCAAATATGAGTGGCTAATCAGTTGTCAGGTTTTGTTGGTATGAATGAAAAAAAAATAAAAAAAATTAAAGATTATAACTTAAGCCTGGGATCCTGATATTTCTCAGTACTGAGGTGGATGGGCGTCTGAGCAACCTGACGTAGTTGAAGACATCCCTGTTTATTGCAAAGAGGTTGGACTAGATGACTTTTACGAGGTTCCTTCCAACTCCAACTGTTATATGATTCTAGGATTCTGACAAGGTATGAAAAAGAGATGGAGATATCTGTCTGAAAAATGTGCCAACTGGTGCTATGAAAAGTGTCATCATGGGTCAGTCAAGAAGGAGTCAGCCTGTATATACTGCTAGCAATGGTGACAGCAGTGCAGCTGCCAAGGATCTTACACATGAGAGTGAACACTTACAGGTCCCACGGGAGAACCAGTGAGAAGGTGCTCGGAAGTGGTATGGTATCCAGAACAGATATGCTGGGAAGGTCTAGCTTTGCCTAGCTTAGAGAAAACAATATTTCAGTATTTCAGATACAGAGATGCTGAGGAAAGTAAAGACCATAATTTGAATTTTACAGAATAGAAAAAAAAAACCTCCACAATAAAACTTAAGAACAATTTGAATGCAAAAACATAGAGAAAAAGTTATGTAGAAAAGTATAATCAGAGGCCAGAGAATTAACCTAATACCAGTCCACTTCTGAGCTGCATGTAAAAGCAAAGAGAAGATGTAAGCAGGAAAAGAGTTGAAATGCCGTCTTTAGACCTGAGCCTACACCCTGTCTCATGAAGGTAGAGTCATGTCAGAACCCAAGAGGTCAGTGTGAATCCACCCACATGCAGGAGTTGGCAAGTACAGCCAGGTTGAACTGCACCTTTCCCTCATGCTTAGTGACATGTCACTATAATATTGGAGAATTTTAGCAAGTCAGCTTCCCTATTTTTAGTGAAGCAACTTCTTGGAGATGGAAACCCTATTATTTTACTATTTAACTTAAAAGCCAATCAGAAGCTAGTTCATGACTCTGATCAGCATAGTCATCATGTGACTTTATAGGCTCTGAAATGCTGCTAGTGATAATCAACAGAGGCCTCAAGTTCATACAAGGGTTAATAGGAAAGAAATCTAGGAAACTGTTGTCGTGCAAGTAAATTTTTAAAAAATAAAAAAATGCAACCAAGAGGCTCAGTGAATTTTGTCCCATGGTTTTAGTCAGCTCATGTTCCCTAGTAAACTATCATGGCATGATATATGAGAAACCATTTTTTACAATGGAGTCAATGATGCTGTTTCAAAGACAAATTAACACTTTCTTAGTATATTTTAACAGATTAGAAAATTGCCTGAAAAACGGATATTTTGTATTTGTGACAATTCTAGTATTTGTGACAATTCTACCTAATAAATCCTAGCACTGGTCCTATGACTTTAGTATTCTAACAACATTAAGCCCTCTGGATCATGGAATTATAATCATGAAAAAAAATTATGCCTGGTCTTCCTGTATATCTGGAAGACCCCAGTTAGGATGTAATTATGATGTGAAATCACAACAGCAAAATAATTAAAATGCATGGCTGTGAGGGCCTAGTTATGACAATATAAGAATGCTTTCACTAAGCATTCACTGATACAATGAATATTTTGTATCAATGGAATTAAGATTATGCTGTCTGCAAGCAGCGTATCTACTTTCTTTATAAGCAACATGTATGTCAGTGTACTGACGAATTGCAGTTAATGATATATTTCTATTACCAATGGAAAAGTAATATATTTTTTTGGTGAAATTACTGATAAAATGACCATGTGTTGCAATGCCTTCAACACACACTGGGACAGAAATTGCTTATCTCTGTTATCTCCTGCTTTTGTATGTTAATCTTTTAGCACAGAATTATTTGTTTGTTAAGGGGCCCCCTGGTGGTCTAGTGGTTAGGATGCAGCACTCTCACCGCCGCGGCCCGGGTTCGATTCCCGGTCAGGGAACTCCCCCGGGTAGATGGAGCTCGTCAGCCCTGTAAGGCCATCCATCTAAGAGAAGGTCACTCTAAACAAACCTACGTCCTGAGGACCTCGCTGCCACTGTCCAAGCTCACTCGGCTCCGGCAGATGAACCTCAGGATTAAAGGGTGGGCTCAGTTCAGCGCACACTGTGTCTCATCTAAAAAATCCACTGCGCAGGCTCGAAGGGTAATGACCTTTCCCAAAATCTTTGTTCGCGAAGACTGGCCATACATTTGTTTGTTAACACCACAACACAGAGGCTAGCGTTATATTATTACAAAAAAAAGATACACTACAATTTCTATACTTTAGGTATGAAAATACATTGCTTGTACACCTAAGCTTTCCATAGCTGTTAATTTTGTCAACAATCATCATGTATATACATACATACACACACGCATATTTATAACTATGAGATATTTAACAGCTTCTGTACTGAATTTTAGTTAAACATTGACAGAGTCATTCCAATATATCTCAAGTCAGCATCATGAAGGGTCTAGTGACAGGGAAATTCTCAACAGTCTTCTTGACATGGGTCAGACCTCAACAGGTGGATGTGAATTCCCATTGCCTCTGCTACTGTGGGGACAATACTCCCCATTCCTAATTCCAGACACCTCTGTAATGCTTACTGCAGCTGTTTAAATAAAACACTATATTTTAGAAATACAATGTAATACAAATTAATTGGAGACCGATTTGGTGGTTACCCTTATATTGTTATCATCTTGGAGAATAAAGAAAACTTTGACCATACCATTTGTTCAGAGGGTCTTGAGAAAATGGTAAAACAAACAACTTTACAAGTAATCAAAAAATGGAATTGAGATCAATAATTTTTGTTCAAGCAATATAAAAATTGCAAAAACTATAAAAATTGATGAGTAGAGTTGTCCTCAACCGCCAAGGAATGAATAAAAAAATCATATTATAAAAAGCATGTCCCTCCCCTCTTCCTTGTGGAACCATTTCTACACCTTTTCTCCACTGCCATGCCCCATGAGAGCCTTCTTTAACCTATTGTGCCCAGTCATGACCAGGAAGGGCAAGCACGGATCTGCTTGCAGCACTGCTGCTCTCAGCAAGTCACACAAGGCTGGCTCAGCCTGCCTGTTTGCCACACCACAGGACGGAATAGGCAAGAGGATGAGACACAGCCCATCCCCATCAACAAAATGAACACAAAAGGCATAGCCCAGGCTCACCTTTGGTCATTTGTCCCAAAGTAAACATTTTTCTTTTTGGATGCCTAGAGAACAGTCATTGGTATAAAAGGACTAAAGACAAAAAGAGGGAAAGGCTGTACTATACAGCATTTTCTCTGGAATTCTTGTTTTCCACATTGCATTCCACCTCACAAGGGGAAAGTTCCCATACAGTATGACAATGTTGCTGGACAGTTGTATTATCTGCTCTTTATCACGCTTGTATAAATCCAGCAGAACTGTAGTACTCCACCTTGGGCTGGTTTTGTGTTTTGGGTTTTTTTTGTCTTGTAAATGAGAACAAACTGTGTCCTTCTCCTCTTAAGCGTTACTGTGCAGACTTCCTCTTCGGTGATTTATTTACTGACTGAATAAGAAAACAACCATCTAAAAAATGAAATTATAATCTTCACTGAATCCATAATTAATGTTAGTTAATGTTACTGCACTTTGTGGATTTCTTATTTATATTCAATACAAACATGTTTTTATATAAGCATTGGTGTTGACAAATACATATTTAGGTTTACTGTAATCAACTCTTGTAATAGCAAAAAGACTTTACTTACCAAGCCATCCTGATCCAGAATTCGGTATACACATATCTGTTTCTGCACTTGGCAACACAAATCCAACTACGAAAACTTCCACCCCATCAGCCATCAGGGCCATTCCCAACACAAAGAAGAGGGCCCACTGGAAACGACCATGGCCACATTCTTGTATTATTAATTCATATTGCTGTGCTAGCTCTTCTTCATCAGCTTTTCTCTCTGTTTCCAGTTCATGGCGATCCTTATATTCATCATGCATAGGTTGACCTAAGGCCACCACGTCATCCTTTTCCTGCCCCATGCTGGGGATTCCCTGATACTCCCCTTCATAAATTTCATCATCTTCATCATGTCCTTCAGTTGCTTCACTTGATCCTTCATCATCATTAGCTTCTACACCATAATTTCCTCCTTGGACATAGTAATCATCGTCATCTTCCTCATCCTGGAATCGATTGTAGGACCTCTGTGTGTAACCATCCTGGGCTTTGTCAACAGCTTTATTTACTTTTTTAACTGCTTGTCTCTTCACCTCTTTGGCAATATCTTTGGCTCCTTTCACTAGTGAAGTCCTATCTTTGTATGTGTCCTCCATCTTGTATCAAAGAAAGACTGTTGTTATGTCACAGAGGTACCGGCTGAATACTTTTTGGAATATCTATTTTGTGTTGGACATCAGTAGAAAAAGCCCAAGTACATGTGAAGCTGTAATATTCAACCTGCAAAATATAAGAGAAAAAAGTTTACTCCTTTTTAGGTGTTTCTTCACAGTGATACAGTACCATACGAATCTTCATTTAAACACTGGACACCAAAGTACAGGGTTTTTCAATATACAAACCTGTGTTTTCTTCAGAGACACAAATACCCCAGGTTACAAGGAAAATATGCTGAAGATAAATTTAATCTCTCTATGGTTTTCAGAATTCAATTTATTACCCTCTAGTCTTGGATACCAGGTTTTATTCTGAAAGAAACCAATCAATTCCATGCACCACACATCATATTGACTCTATCTTTAGTGTCCTTCCCCATGTGAACTCCCTGTTTTGTAAGAAAGGGCTACAAATACTAACTTTTCTCTCAATGACTGACCATAAAATATCTGTCCTCTGTCCAGCCTGCTGCTTAATACAAATCCTATAGGAAGCTAATATTCCTCACATCTGCACCAGTGTCTCAAAGCTGACTGGATTTGACCATTGCATTCACACAGAGTCTTAGCAATACGAAGTCCCACCCTAAAAAATTCAGTGCAGGGAGCTGTATGGACAAAAGTGGTGGCACTTTCACACTTTAAAGATTTCCAGTACCTAAACTGTGGACAGACGCATTCCTTTCTTCCCTGTCCATAGTGACAGTAGAGGCAGACTGGAACAACTGTATGTCACCAGCTAATTCATCCCAGAGTGGGTAAGTCCAGCATGAGTTCCTGCTAATCTATCTGCATGAAAGCACCAAGATATTTTGCCCCAGTTCCCCTCCCTGCTCCCCTGCTGCACCTTCCTATCTTGTGCAGCCCCAAGGTCACAAATGCAGACAGAATGAGTCAAGAGCAGTTTGCTTATTAGACTGAAGACTAACCATTCCCTTCTTCTCTGTGCAGTTTTCAGGCATATCTGTAAGGCAATTTGCTCATCACACACCTGCACTATCATTAGGGGCAGGAGAAAGAAATGGCAGCAGCATGCAGCCAAAGGGAAGGAAGAAATGCAGGATCCTTCTTTGGCAACAGTAGTTAGAAGAGCTAAAATCAATTAGAAAACTGCATCATTACTTGTGTCTAAAGTTAAGGCTCTGTGTGTGTGTGTTTGTGTATGTGTGTGAATCTGGGCACTGCAATAGATTGCAGAAGCCTCCCCTCTCAGAGAAAGCAGGCTAAAATTTCTGTAGCAGTGCTCCTAAGAAAACAATGTCTCCTTCCATCTTGGGGAAAAGGTTATTTTTAACCATGATCATTTTAATGATCTATTTTCCAGCATTACCTCAGAAAAACTGCATTAATACAGCTAAGGAGGCTGAGACACAATGCAGTAGTAAAAGTGGCTGGAAATTTCTGAAGCAAATCCTATTTCCCTTTCTAAAGTAGTGTGAGCTGCACTCTGAACTCCATGGGAGAAGACAAGGGTAATGCTTTAAGAAGCTGTCCTTTATTCATTGTGTTGTAGACACTGTCTCCAGAAGTATATTCCAGATATCAGTTTTAAGACTGATACTGTTTTGAGGAATAGGAAGAGTTATAGACTGCATTAGAAAAACTAATGGCATGATGTACTTCTGATAGAAGAAAACGAAACTTAAAATCACACAGACATAATATTAGAAGCTGAAAGGTATTTCCCAGCTTTTTAAAAATAGAAGTTCACCTATGGTGGAAAATGTCTTTATTTTTAGTCTCTTCCTCTAGATTAATTTCATACACTTTGAATATTTCTCAGAGAAATCAGACGTGATGGCAATATTCAACTTTTAATGTGAACTGAAGCATTCACTGGAAGAGAAATGCAGCCTTAAAGAAAGACATGATGTAATATTTATGACTGCAAACTGTAGCCTGATTTTAGATACATGATGATCCTTCTAAGTAGGTCATCCTGGTGAAACTTTTATGCTAAGGCAGTTTCTCTAATTACAGCTTTTCAGTTTTCAAGGTGCAATTTTTGTACTGAATTAGGTATCTTATCCTTACCTATATGCATCTGCAGTACCTACTAGATGTTAATGAACATGCATTGCATCAAAACAATCATTAGGTTTGCTGAAGCCTTCTGCAAACACTTTCAAGAACTTAAAGAACTTCTAACAGGCACTTTTCTGAGGGTTAATGATTACAGTGTGTTCCCAGATTTTGATACTTTTAGATTATTTTACAGTGTCCACACAACCTATTTAACCTGACCTCTGAATTCCTCTAATTCTTAGACTGATGTTTGGCGGGGGGGGGAGTTGTTTGTTTTGTTTTCCCAGTGAGTTCAGTCTTCCTTTAAGGATTTTTATTTGTCAAATTTCCTATTACTGCAGGGTGTGTGTATATATAGATACACATAGATATATATATATATATATATGGAAGACAGTAGGAATTTAGTAATACCCAATGAACAAGAAGTCTAAATGCCAGTGCTGGTATAACCACACTTCGCTCTTCTGTAGAACACCTACCTCATGAGTTCAGCAGTTCAGCCTAAAAACACAAATTTGCAAAAGTAACTGAATTTACATCATAGCTTATGATAGACCAGGTATGTCAACAAGCAACTACACCTGTTCAAACTCATTAAAAGCATAGCTCTGCCAGCAAAAAACCTGCACATAGACCAAGGAAAATTTATGTCAGGGCAGAAATCAGAAATTTCTCTTTATCATGCCGAAGTTTCCAAGCAGAATACCTAATCTGAACACTGTTCTTTTAAACAGCTTTACTCTCTCAACGAACTGAAATCCCTGCCTTAAGGTGATAACTACAAAGTGGAATAATTTACCACCCATGCATGATAGCTCCCCACCCTTTTAATTATGTTGAACTGATTGACTACAAGTAAGTAACTGCAAAGTCTGAAAGAGTGAGGATTAATGACTACCTGAGTAGCATAAAGCAGCAAAAGCACAGATGATAGCCTAGACATATACTCGTTTGTACCAACTGTCTCCTTATACATGTTTGCTGGCTTTCACTAAACTAAACACCACATTCCTATTCAATTCTTTTAATTAAAAAAAAAAAAATCCCAGGAAAGCAGTGATTCAACCTGAAATGGAAATACTACTTCAAGAAATACCCACAAAACATGTTTTTCCAAACACTCATATATGCATACACCAAAAAAAAAATCCTAAAACCAAATTGTTCTTTTGCTCTGATATTTATTCTTTTCAATTCTATTACTTGCACAAATTTCAGTATATATAGCATTTCATATATATTGTGATATATCTGAAATAAGGGTTGGACATTACAAACTAAATCAGTGAGATCCCACGAAGATATACATCTATGATGTTTCAGAAAACTCATTCCCACCAAGGCTTACATCACTGCTGTAAGAGGACTCACTGAGCACTACCAGTGATATTAACTATATGCATATAGAGCCCTTCACATACTGTTGGGGACTTAGTATAGCATCTTTCCTGCTTTTCTTTTGAATCTGTAATTGATTTTCAAAGAAAAAAAATAGTAAAATTCTTTTCTAATCAAAGTTGATGCACATTTTGCACATTGATACAAAGTTCCAATGCAGGTTTTTCTTGGCATTTTTATTCTGGTTTAATTTCTGGTTTTCTATTGTCATTTTTTATTATCAACTATCATGGATACAGATGTTTTTTGTTTTCTGAGTTTATCAGTTGCTCCGAATTAGTCATCATGTGAGGGTATAATCCTTGATTAGATCATAACGACTTCAAATTATACTGCCTTGACGTGTCAAACGATTTTATAACCCAGGTTAAATATAGGCACCTGAACTGTGTTAACTCAAAACCAGAAAATGCTATTGTCTTGAAAATCCTCTCAGTAAAAAAAAAAAAAAAAAAAAAAAAAAAAAGAGGTAAAGAGATGAAGAAAAATAAAACAATAGAAACATACCATACATACTGTGATATAGAAAAAATTACTAAATTTCTCCAACAATGTTTACGTGGTACAGTCCAAAGAACATAAAGGATGTAATCCTACAAGTGACGGCAGACCTGAATTATATAGACAGAGTTACAACCCACTCTTGAACTTACTGGTATACCTGCAAACCTCCCCCCCAATCTCTTCATGCACAAAGCTGTTCCAGAAGAGGCATTCTTTGATTTTTGCAGGTTAGTACTTGCTTCAGTATGACTCAATAAAGAGTAGATTCCTCAATAAAGTGTATTTTTTTGTAGAGGTATTCACTTTTTTTTTAAAATACATAAGAGCTGTCACCAAAGCTGGTGTGAATGAGATTAATTTTGGGTAATGTTAACAGATTAAAATACAAGTTTCTATATTTTAAGCAAATTTTCTTTCTCTCACGTTGAGAGTCACACACCCAGGCTGCAATGCTTTTAGCTCAGGTTGCAGTTGTCAAAGCTGTGTAAGTTACTGCAAGGCTGCTGTGCCACCAGCAGTAGCAGTCCTCAACTCTCTCCTCATTTGGACAGCATTCTCATCACTTGTCCTGTACCAGCATTTGTCACTGCATCCTCACTGCAACCACAAAACATGTACAAAAGATGAGCATGGGAATTCATTATTATAGTACACATCAAAGATCCTGAGCTCAGAAGAGACCAGGGTTTCATAGTATACCACAATCATACTCTTCCCAATTTATTACTTTCCTTCCTCATTAAACCAGCAAAGATAACTTTCTGCGTTTCTGCTCTACCTGCCCCATTCCTCTCAAAATATCTAACTGATTTATCTAATTAGAATAAAACAGGAGGAATTGTTTTTAGCTTGTTTTTACTTGAAATAGGATAACCTTCATCAGAAAAAAATTGTGTATTTACCTGAAAGCAAAATATACGTAGACATCAGCTGTTAACAAAAAATACTAACTCTAACTGACTCTTAGAGCCTTAAAGTACCAGCAACCGCAAATATTTCTCCTAATTCTTTTCTCACAGTGCTTTTGATTGCAGACCTAATTCTTCCTCACTTAGAGCTGGATATATAAGCATGAAACCAGGATCTGCAAAGGCTCTGCTTAAGATAGTACAAACCAAAAATCTAAT